GGCATGTGGGCTTAGTTGCGGTATGCATGTGGGATCTATTTCCCCAACCAGGGATAGAACCTGGGCCCCCTGGATTGGGAGCACAGAGTCTTACCCCCTCGACCATCAGGGAAGTCCCAAATTGTACACTTTAAATGAGTGAACTGTATCTCAATAAACCTGTTCTAATAAAAAGATCAATGTGGGAATAAACTAAATTCCTATATTATTTGTGTTTAAGACAGTATCATTTGTGTTTAAGAGCACTAGCTTCAACAGGGCAGGCTCTGTAAAGTACGGCAAACCTGAACAAGATCAAAGTGTGCGTCTGGGATCAGAAAACACCAAGTTGAAAAACAAGGTCATATCAGTTACTTGGCTCAAAATAAATATTTAATCTGTTCACTGTAGAGCTTACTAGTTTAAGAGAAGCCATACTAAAGCAGCAGTGAAAACTACTGGGTTTTATGGGACTCACAGACGGCCTGGTTATGTAACCTTACGTGGGTCACTTAACTTCAAAAGGTATTTTCTCTAGTTTCACTCCTTTGCCAATCAGCTTATTTCATGGGCATATTCTTGGCAATTAATGGATAACAGATTTCATATTTACAGAGTGCCAGGATCTGAAAGCACTGTTGAGGTTTATTCCAGGCATTTGCACACACTTAGGGCACATGGTCTGCACGGTTGGTAAGTTAAAGCACCCATTCAGAAAGGCTTCCTGTTTGAGGGATACTATCATAGCTACAAAACGGATGTAGAAAACGTTTGAGTCTTCCAAAATGAATGGAGAAAGCGTTTGAAACTCTCTTAAAAGTAAACAATGATTTCGTATATTTTTGAACTTTTAGGTTTCATTTTGAAATACGTCCCACAAAGGCACAATGATATACTGGTGGAGGAAAGTAGATTAAAAATAGCCTAATGAATGACCCCTCTACAATCCTTCTTTTGTATGCCTTCTTCAAAGATATCAGAATTAAGAAATCAGGGCTACCATGATTTTAACTAAAAGTATACTTAAATCCTACTCTCTGTATCTTCTTTCAGAACATATTCCAATTCTCACTCGCCCTAGTGAACTCGTTTGAATACATCAGAGGTTTAAGATGTGGGCCTAATTTTAAAGAAGAAAAATGGATGTAGGTAAACTATTTTCATTAAACATGCGATACAGCCCTTCAATTATTCTGCCTTTGTTTTAAATTCTCTTCATTTTCTTTCATCTCTACTTCACTTGTAACTATGAGCTTTTTAGTCTGTATGACAAATAACACGAATCTGGTTTGATTTAGGAACAATATTAGGATCCACACTGGGTTGAAAAATATTTAAAAGTTCTCTGCAGCTGTGTCACTGAACTCAGAACTTATAGCAGTGAGAGACAAAAATGCACCTATCAGATAACCAAAGACTTTGGGGTTTGTGAAAAGCAAACCTACAAGACATTGGGTTGTATGATGATGTGATATGAGCCTGTGAAACTGTTTAATTTTGGTATGTGAAAAAATCACAAGAATAAACGAGTGCAAATAGAACACTCTTATTTCTGGAATACAGACTCTTATTTAGTTTTCTTGACTTTTCTTTCCACCCAGGTGCAAAACATAGAGTGTAGAATTCAGATGCTAAATTGCCACTTATATTAGCTACACCGCAAATTTGGGGCAATTAACTTCACTAGTCATACATTCATTATTTAATTTCAACTTCATGATTTTCTATTGTAGTAAGAAGATTTAACAAGAAATCTACCCTCTTAACAATTTCTAAATGTAGACTGTGAACTGCAGGCACAGTGCTGTGCAGGAGATCTCTAGGACTTAATCATCTTACATAACTGAAACTTTCTCTCCATGGAATAGCAGCTCCCCATCTCCTCCTCTGGCCCCGGGCAACCACCACTCCTCTGCTTCTAGGAGTCTGACTACTTAAGATACCTCGTATCAGTGGAATCATAAAGCGTCTGTCCTTCCGTGATCTGCCCTCCACTTTCATCCATATTGTCACAGCATAATGTTTTAAATGGTTCACTTGGGCAGAGCAGATTCGTTGGTGGCAACTGGGCCCCACCTTGCTTTATCAGTTTCCTGCCTCTGCCCTTTATGAATCCTCTCACAGTCAAGACTGTGTCACACCTGGAGATGACTTCCCTGCTCGTTGAGGTGAGAACATTGTTTTGATGGCCGGAAGTCCTGCTTTTCTTTTTAAAAGTCAAGGTCTCCTGGCAGCTCCTCTGCAAACTACTATGGCAGCTGGGCTACAGGTCACATGCGTATTACATAATGGCAGTCCATGCATTCAAACGAGCATCTCCAAGCCACGATTCCCATAGCAACACACAGTGATTTTACTCATCTCAGAGACGAAGCAGCCAGCAGAAGTATTCTAATGTTAGTTACCCTCGATTTTCTTTTTTTTCTTTTTTTTTTTTTAGCAAGATCAACACAGCGCTTTTTTCGAAGCAGTCATTTTTTCAAAAGAACACCGATGAAAACTGTGTTAAAATATGTTCACTTAAAAGTTACCGAGTTATCACACACACCAAGGCCCTTTGAACGTGAACAACAGTCGATGCTTTAGAAATAGCTGCTATCTGAACGAATGCATGGGAAAAAGAATCCAAATCATGACCATTAGGGAAATGAAACAGACTCAGCTAAATTCTGTACTTCTATGTTTCATATATCTTTTCCAGTCCCCCCTTCCACAGATATGCACTTTATTATTGTGGGATGGAGAAGAAAGTGCTCCAAGGGAGCAATTTTAATTAATAAAATCCTTTCTTGCTTTATTTTTGAAAAGCATAATGCAATCCACTTTTTAAATATAAGAAAAATGCCATCATAAAACACCTAGGGAGTAAAATTTGGGAGAAAAATTGTGGTCTAAGAGAATAAACATTAGCTTGAAGAATGTTTGTTTTTCTGAGCAGAGAAATGGTTTCCTGAAAAAAACTGAAGTAAAAATCCTTTTGCTATTAGAAGGAGTTTTTCCTCTTTGCATATTCAGGGATCCTTTTTGTGTGTCTAAATAAACCACCCACCCACGGAAACAAGTTGCCTGGATTATAAAACAACATAAAAGGCAAGACCACTCATATATCACACTGCCTTTCTCTGTCAAGGGAAGAAAGTACATTCCATTTCTTGTACCTCTCTTCCGCCAGCGAGCCCACATGTGCACTTCAGGAGGAACTGCCACAGGTGGCCCATCACGGACCCAGCACGACATGCAAAGAGCCTGGCGGAGAACGGAGGGTTTTACCTTTGCTTTCTCCAGCTGGGCCTGGGCCTGTCGTCGTGCTTCTCTGCGCACCGTCTCCCGATCTTCCTCCAAAGAAACATCTGAATCGGAGGGACGGCTGGTGTAGGAGTCTGCCGAACCCTGGAGAGGGAAATCGACCTTTTAAAAGAGATTGCATCGGGCTTCCCTGGTGGCGCAGTGGTTGAGAGTCCCCCTGCCTATGCAGGGGACACGGGTTCGTGCCCCGGTCCGGGAGGATCCCACACGCCGCGGAGCGGCTGGGCCCGTGAGCCATGGCCGCTGAGCCTGCGCGTCCGGAGCCTGTGCTCCGCAACGGGAGAGGCCACAGCAGTGAGAGGCCCGCGTACCGCAAATAAATAAATAAATAAGTAAGTAAATAAATAAATAAAAGAGATTGCATCTATGAGGTTTGCAATGGCCACGTCTCACTGACACGGCAGTCAGCTTCCGAGACTGTGCTATCCATTCCTGAAAAGAGGAGAAAATAATCCACCTGGTGGCAAACCAGCTCCACACATGGCGCTCTGGTCTGCAGACCACGCACTAGGAGAGCTGTGCCTTCCAAATTACCATTCCTTCCCCAACCTTATGGGCCAGTTAGCAGCCTTTCTGGAAGCCGGAACAAGTTCTCTGTATCATCAAACCAGCTCTGTGCTGCAGTGCAGCGTAGGGCACAGACGGGTTTCAAGGAGAGCTTCAAGAACGGTCTACAGCTACAGCAAGAATTTCCGATTAGAAAGAAGACAGGCTAATAAAACATACAGGGAAGTCCAACGAGTTACCAACTTGAACTCTCTGAAATGTCACTACCACAGATGTCACCCACTTTCATCTTAAGCATTCTTTTGTACCTACCTCTGTATTCACCTGATACCTCCTCTGACAAACCTGTAATGCAATAGCCGCCAGCTTCCCTCAATCTTTAAGCAACACATTTTTTTTCAATCCCTTTAAATAGATATTTCATCAAAGCTGTCTACGGAAAACACCTGCCCGGGAGAGCTCCTAGGGCAATAAATCACAGCATAGGAAAAGGAGCTCAGAGGATTAGAGGACTCTCTCCCGTTCCCTCTCCAGCAATCAACATATTACTCATCACGGGCGCCCCGGACAATCCTCACTGTACCAGCAGCAGAAACAACGACAAAATAACGTCTCCCCTCAACGAGAGCCCTGGAGCTTACAGAGATGTCCGAATTCTTCAGCCTTCCTCCCTTGGCGCGTTTCAGAAGCCTGACCCAGGTGGCCTTCATCAGCCAGACAGCGCCCTTCTCGTCCGCAGCTGCAGCCCCGGGCACCGATCCTCAGTGCGCGCTGAGCCCCGCAGAACCCCTTCTCTGTTCCCGTCCATGCTCTGGACAAACCCCTCCTCTCCGTCCCTTTCTGCCTCCGGGGCTTTCACTTCCTAGCCCGGAGGACTCCAGTCCAAGGAGATTCTTATTTTCCCATTCCAGCCAGTGGGGAGGGGAAACAAACACTCGAATGATTTCGATTGCTTTAAAGATAACACTTCAAGTGCATCCAAAGGCATCAACTCGTCCTAAACTTCATGCATCTTATTACCCTATTCTCTTCCCGACTCTTGGATCGTTAAAAGACATTAGTTGTAAGAGAGCCTTTAAAACACACACACACACACACACACACACACACACACACACACCAACCTAGTGCAAAACGTATGCAGTGACATTTGCAAGTGCAAAGGTCAAGCCTTATCTTCAGAGATCTGGAGGGGGAGGGCGGAGGACGCGCTCACCGCACTGGGCATGCTCCGTGTGTAGCCTTTTTACGCAGACGCTCACATCACGTGGTTAGTCTCTGTCAAATTGCCATTTTGCATCCAAAGTGTAAACATCTGGAAAGGGCTTTTTGCTTCTATAGTAACAGGCACCTGTGATGTTTGGCATGTTTCTATTGCAGATCAAACATTCTCTCAAAAATAAAGTGTAATCTCTCCCTCTTTTTTTTTTTTCATTTAAGGATCTCTTTCCATTAACCTGCTGCAGAAGGTATATCCTATGCCATTGGACAATTCGTAGATAATAAATATGATATACATTGATGGGCAACCAAAATCAAATCATGCTCATCCATCCTAATATCAAGCCGCTCTTGACGGCTCTCGATTTCCTGAACAAAATGCAAGAGATTTGCCCATTGAATTAGGTCTTGAAAGTAATCACAGCGCTAAGCAATGCGTTTAACGGAGCTCAAAATGACTTCGAACTGCTTTTGCAACTGAGAAACTACCCTTCCAAATTAAGTCACCGGAATAAATAACAGTGTGAACTGTTATCACGTAATTACGAAGAAATTTCAAAGCTTGGTTGATTTATTAGGTGGAGTTAAGATTCATAGAACAATCTGGTCCAAACTCTTGTTACAAATAAAGTGATTGGGGCTTGGAAAAGAAAGTTACTTATCAATTTCCACTACTAATGGAATTACATTTTCGAAAGTTGATGAAGAAACACTCACTTCCAGGTTTCTTAAAGTAAACATAAAATACTATCACTGCATTCCGAGCTACATTTCTGTTTGAATGTCCTGGTGGGGATTGTTTTGTAAAGTCTCATGAGAATGAAAGAAAGGATTCTTATGAAAATCTTCCTTACTTTCCCTCCCTCCCTCCCTCCCTTCCAAATCCTCCCCACCCCCCATTCCTTTCATTTCTAGGCTAAGACCAATCTTCATGACTTAAATACCAGAAAATACAGTAGAATAGAGGCTTTAGAATAAACATTGTAGATCAAATGCACGCTCATTGTGGTATCATAACATAAATTAATAGATAGATTACTTACCTTTTTATCAAGTGAATGTAAAATGCATGAGGAATAGGAAATGCATTGCAAGTTTTTCATTCTATACAACTCACAAGGGAGATAGGGGTTTTTCTACACCAACACACAGGCTAGGGGATTCCTAATTTTCCCAGAGGGTTTCCTATAGCAGGGATAGCACAGCAGAAAATTACCATGAAGCATGATTATATCCCACAAAAGACATCAGGCCCCGTAGTCACAAGTGCTGGCATTTTAAACCCAGTCACCCTGCCACAGGGTCAGGTCACGCCTCAGTGAAGATACGAAGTTTCTGTCCTTAAGAAGCCCATAATGAGAGGAAGAGAGTAACACACACACACACACACACACACACACACACACACACACAAAATTGTGTGTGATCTCATTCCCTTTTGAACAAAATAAGATTTAAAAAATCCTTTGCTCATAATCAGATGTAGCTTCTAATTACACAGTCATTTTGAGACCTGTTTCCAGGTTGAAATAATTAAGCAGTTTAAAAGCCCCTCTCCACTGAGTTTCGGCAATGATTTTTTTTTCCTTATATATTTTTTAACGTCTTTATTGGAGTATAATTGCTTTACAGTGGTGTGTTAGTTTCTGCTTTATAACAGCAATGATCTTTTGAATACGTGCAACAATATATTAACCTCTGACAATATGATGTGTGACTTCAACTGATGTCCACGTGACTTTCATTCCTTGGATATGTGACGTACACACTTGCCAAATACTTTTCATTATAGAAGTTACATGTATCCATTATAGGACAAGAGACACACAGATAACATTTACTTTAAATTCTCCCATCCAAAGAGAGTCACTATTAATTAAGGTAGTGCTGTTTAGCTTCCAGAGTTCTTGCATTTTTGGAAGTCACCCTCCAAACGTGTGCCTTACAATTAATCTCCTTCCTTCCGGGAGTGTGGATTTATGCAGTCAGAAGTGGTGTATCTAATTAAGCTTTTGCCTTTGGTACCATATGGACTTTCTGGGTCACTCTGCCTCTAGTAGTCTTCAGTCAGGAAGAGCTGGCAGTCATTTCCGTAAATCCAGAAAAGGTTAGCACGAGATGTACCCCTGATCTCTCGGGTTCCTGCAATATGATTAGCTGAACTTTTGTAGTATTTGTCCTGGCAGGTACATCACAGACGTCCTTTTCCACATCTTAATATTCTCATTCCTCATCATACAGTTCTAAAATGCAACCTGCAGCTAATGTCTACCAACAGCTCACCTGGGATCATTTATTTTTATCCTCAAGAGTCTCACTCCAAATTGTGTTCTTTGCTTACTGGAGACTTTAGTTAATTGGATTAATTGATGCTTCTATCTATTATTCAGTTTCTGGCGTTTTCCAATTTATGCCAAATATTTACACACAAAGCATCACGCTCTT